TTAGCACATAACAAAATATTTTCTGCCTGAATTTCTGACATGCGGAGTTATCATTATTTATACTATTTACATTCGGAATATTCAATACTGTTCGTCCTTGAGTATAAAAACCTACCCGTCAGACATAATATCAGCGTATACAGATGGGAACTGATTGGACAAGGAGGATGTCAAAAAATGTCCACGGTCTGTCTGTCTAACTTCAAAAGTTTATCGTAAAAGATTCAGATGATCTGCGTCCATATAATATCAGGGCAATATTCAGATGCAGTTCCACTCTACGGGATCATCTCTGTTTAGTAACACTGGTTGTGAACTGGCCATCAAATATAACATCAGTCTATACAGATGGGAACAGAAGCCACAAGGAGGGTGAACATAGAATGGCCATGGTCTCTCTACCTTACGTCAAGGGCTTAACGTAAATGATTCAGAAGATCTGCAGTCCATATAACATTATGACAGTATTCAGAAGCAGTTTCATTCTATAGCCTAAACTCTTCTGAGAAATAACCCTGGGAAACAAGAAATGATCAGTATCGTAGTCTTCAGAATAACCAGTAACCGGGAAATATAACATCAGTGTGTACAGATGGGAACAGAAGGGACGAGGAGGATGTCCATAGAATGGCCACGGTCTCTTTACATTACGTCAAGGACTTATCGGAAAAGATTGAGAAGATATGCAGTGCATATAATATCAGGACAATATTCAGAAGCTGTTTTATTCTATGACTTATAATCTGCTGATTAATAACCTTATGATAAGTATCAAACGTAGCTTTTCAGAATAACAACTAACCGGTAAACGTAACCAGCGTGTGTAGAAGGGACAAGGAGGATTAATAAATAACTATATATATATATATATATATATATATATATATATATATGTGTGTGTGTGTGTGTGTGTGTGTGTGTGTGTGCGCGTGTGCGCGTGTGTGTGCGCGCGTGTGTGTGTGTGTGTGTGAAAATATATAGAAAATAGGAAAGAACTGCTTAGGTAAATAATCCAAATTCTTTAGTATTTTTTTTATTATTTTTTAAAAAATAGTGCTCGATACAAAAGTAGAGCATAAATATAATTATTTATTTAAAAATATGATTCCAACTCGCGACATAAGAGGTCTCATGTTTCAAAACAAGAGCCGAAAACTTCAATATAATTATTTGAATTAAATTGAGTTAAAGTAAGCTCTGTGCCATCTTCAAGCGAAATTTTTTTGGAATAACGTATTTCTGAAATTTACGTGTTTTAATAATTGAAATCAAAATTTCCGTGGTAACAGCTAGGGCGAAATGTTCAAATTGGGTAGGCGTGTGTTAATAATAAGTATCATTATAGAATTACTTTCATAGATGTCAAGTCAGGGTAAGGTGGGGGTGTCTAAATTTGAAACGGAAGATGTTTTAGCCTAGTCTGGTTTACGTGTCTATGGAGATTTATTTATTTTTTTTATTTTATTACTTTATGAAAGCGATTTGTGCATATAAAAAAAACAAAAAAAAAAAAACACCGCCGTAACATTTGTTTTTTGACGACTTCATAAAGGGTTATCTTTTTTGTAGGGTATTTAAACTATTTATTTGGGCTATGGATTATAAAAGTTATTATATTGTATGCTTGTTTTTAGCTAATTATTCAAACAATGAATTTGATGATGTCGACCAAAAACCGTTAACTCATGTTGTTTAATAGATTATTATATAGAAACTTAATAATGTGCAGTTTCTCATGGAGGCACAAAGGGCATGGGTCAACTCAAGTTTTACATATTCTAGCCTTGTTTATAATTTTCTATTTTACTTTTGTTTATAATATATATATATATAGTGAACATTGAAGTTAACACTTAGAGGAGACAGGTTGTTTCATGTTGTATGCAATCCTTCACTTTTAGGTTTATAATTACATAGGCTCTATCTCTGATATTGAACACTTTATCCCTTAAATATAGCTCACCTTAAAACTATATTTCTATAAACTGATTATTTTATTTGCTTGTGAATTTTACTTTTGGTAATGCTAATTTCAAGTTCAGTCTTTTCAATATTGGAAACTTGCGTGGAAATTTAAATCAGGGAATTGGCTTTTCAAGTCTGCTTACACTATTGCTCTCTTTAGCATTGATGCCTGTTTAATGTCTAACGTCTTGTTTAAGCGTGATGTCAACATTTCCGTTATATTATTGTTTTCTATTCTAGTTACATATTCTATCCGTTTTAATAGCTGCTTTCTATATGAAGACTTCAGGCGGCGTGGTTTTGTTAGTTGTAAAGTTTTTGTGGATTCTGTATCGTCTGATGAAGGACTGTATTTTTTTAAAGAATTTAATTCTACCGCTCTAGTAAACAAGGCAAATTAAAAGTGTTAATGATTATGTCGCTTCCATCAGCTTGAAATTGTTTTTTCGTCTATGTCATCGACAAAGATGAAGACAATAGTCCGAATAATGTGAATAGTTTACATAATACCTCATCTCAGAAATATAGACAGATACTGAAAGGCCGAAACCTTGTAATAAATATGGCGACAAAGATGAAGACAATAGTCGGAATAATGTAAATAGTGTACATAATACCTCATCTCAGAAATATAGACAGATACTGAAGGTCTGTATTCTTCCTGATATACATTCTTCTTCGATTTTGTTTTAATGTTGATAATATTAGGTTGGTGCAAAAATAATGACGTAATAATTTCGTTTTTTGACGTATTTTTTAACGTCAAAAACGGCATTATTACGTCATTATTTTTGCACCAACCTAATAGAATACTTATATTTTGTAATTATCGCATCTACATCATGTCAGTCGGTAATGTGCCATGCGTGATACTCGTTTCAGCAATCATGTATGTTTCGATACATGACTGAGACAGATTTTTCCCGCAGTAGGTTGCCATTTCTTTCTGCGCGGTAGACCAGTCGCAATCAAAAGCTATAGAACCCGGTCTATCCTGCTATTTACCCATATCTGTGGGGAGACGAAGAGGATCGATACATTTCCCCAAGGGTATTCACGTAAGTGAATATAATTGATTCGACTGGAATTCGAACTCGGCTCTCCGATTCCACTCAGCTCTCCGATTCCTCAATCGCAGCCGCTATCCATTACTCCATCGTGTCTCGTATATGATGTAAGAATCTATAATCGGAGAATTTGAACCGAACAAATTAAATGTTATTTAAATTTTTACCGATTAATTCTTGATTCAAGTCAGGCAATTCGAAGAAGGCAGTGGAAACGAGGTATATTTCTTTTTCAAATTGAAAATTACGAAATTGATGGTACCGGGTTATTATACGATTTATCGCAGTATGACGAGTCATGCGTCAAGTTTTAATTTTTCTCTTTCGAGAGTCGTAAAAAGCTGCTTCTCATCTGACAGGAAATCAAAAGTCACACCTTACTCGTGGCAAAAGTGGCCTCTACAGATAAATAGATTCATAAAAATGGTCAAGTATACAAGAGAAATTACAGGCGGCTTTGTGTGGATGTCACGTTGGTAGCAACCGCTATGTATAACAAGTTCATCTCGACGTCACGCGGGTTGTAAACAAAAAGCGCCATATCATGACAAGTACCATTACTAACGTTAATAAGTTTCGATAATTGTTAAGCTTTTAGTGCATAATAAAATATTTTCTGTCTGAATTTCTTACATAAGGAGTTATCATTATTTACACTGTTTATATTCTGAGTATTCAATACCATTCCACCTTGAAAATAAAAAGCTACCCGGCAAACATAACATCAATGTGTACAGTTGGGAATAGAATGGACAAGGAGGATCACCATAAAATGGCCACGGTCTGTCTACCTTAAGTCAAGTGCTTATCGGAAAAGACACAGGGGAGAACATGGCCAAGAAATGTGCGTACTCGGTTCCTTGTGGTTATGTCATGGGATATAAAAGTGTAACAAGAAGCCGCCCGTCAAAGTAAGGTTGGAGAAAAAGAGAAAAGAATTGAGACATTGAAATTGGGAAGGGCTGATCATGCATGGAAGGAAAGCGGTAGTCATCAGACTCTGTGGAATGAAGTGAAAATAATGGACAAGTAGTTAAACATCTGAAAGAGTCAGCGCATATCCTAGGCTATGGGGACCTTATTAGTAGGCATCCCATAGAAATAAATGCAGTATGTCAGCAGCAGCAGCAGAGAAAACAAGACGGACATTAAGCAATCAATCCAATCCTTGCGTTGGGCATTGTATTCTGACACTCAGTTGAAACGGGCGAGCAAAAGTGATCAGTACTAAAAAACATAAAATAACTAGATATCTCTTGACAGTTGAACGAGAACAGTATTATCCCGTAGATTAAATAAAGGGTGAAGTTCAGAATTCGCTATAGTTTACCCAGGTCGATATACACATGAGAAAGACCGGAGGGCACAACGGCTGAAACGTTAAAAAGGTGATAACAGCAACAACAAAACCGCAGAAAATATTCCTCATGTTTACAAAATCATCTGAAGATAACCAAACCACATCATTAGTATGGTTGCCCTGAGATCCTTAGGAGTTTTGGGTTTATCCAACATCATACTCCTTCACACAGGTTACCCTGCTGGTAATGATCAAATAATTCGATTAATTCTATTTAGAGTAAATTTTATCCCGTTTAACTTTTTTTAGCGTGTTTTTTTTTTAAATTTTTACAGATATACTTACATTATATATTATTTAAAGAGATTCTTCGATACTATGAGATTCTTTCTATGAGGCATGATGAAATTAGTAGAGCTTTGGTTATAGAATTTCTTCTTACGGCAGTTGTGTATATGTGGAGACATTCACTATAAAAAAAACGAAAAGAAGCAAAAGATGAAGCTACTTATCCTGTTGGAATAACCAGTGACAGTGTATCAATACGAATAAAGAGGTAGCGAGAGTGTAGCAATTCAAATAAATAAGTAGTGAGAATGTAGCAATTAGAATAGTGAGGTAGTGACAGTGTTGTAATTCAAATAAAGAGGTAGTGAGAATGTAGCAATTCACATAAAGAGGTAATAACAGTGTAGCAATTCTAATAAAGAGGTAGCGAGTGGGTAGCAATTTGAATAAAGAAGTAGTGGCATTGTGGCAATTCGAATAATTTCGTAGTGAAAATGTAGCAATTCGAATAAAGACGTAGTGAGAATGTAGCAATTCGAATGAAGTTGTAGTGAAAGTGCAGCAATTCTAATAACGATGTAATGATAGAGTAACAATTCGAATAACGAGGTAGATACAGTGTAGCAATTCAAATAAAGAGGTAGCGAGAGGGTAGCAGTTTGAATAAAGAGGTAATAACAGTGTAGCCATTCGAATGAGGTAATAAAGCCGTAGCAATTCACATAAAGAGGTTGTGACTGTGTAGAAATTCGAACTAGGTAGTGACGCTGTAGCAGTTCGGGTAAAAATGTAGTGCTAGTGTGGCAATTCTTATAACGAGGTAATGCCAGTGTAGCAATTTGAATAAAGAGGTAATAACGTATCATTCCGAAAAAGATGTTGTTACACTGTAACAATTCGAATGACGAGGTATCGAGTGAGTAGCAATTCGAATAAAGAGGCTGTGCCATTGTATCAATTCGAGTAAAGAGGTTGTGACAGTGTATCAATTCGAATGAAGAGATATTGACAATGTAGTAATTCGGACAACGAGGTAGTGACGCTTTAACATTTCGAATAAAGTGGCAGATAGATTGTAGCGATTCGAATAAATGCCTAATGACAATGTTGTAATAAGAATAAAGAGGTCACGACAATGTAGCAATTCGAACAAAGTGGTAGTGACAGTGTATCACTTTGAATAAAGATTGTTTAGGTAATCGAATATAGAAGTAGTGACAGGTAGCAATTTGAATAAAGAGATAGTGACATTGTAGCAATTGGAATAAGACGTTATTGACAACCTAGCGATTTTTATAAAGTGGTAGTGACGCTGTAGCAACTCGGATAACGAGGTAGCGACAGTGTAGCAATTCGAATGAAGTTGTCATGACATTGTTGCAATTCGAATAAATAGTAGCGAGGATGTAACATTTTGAATGAAGAGTTACTGACAGTGTAGCCACTTGAATAAAGTGGGAGTTAATGTCAGTAATTAGAATAACAAAGTATTAAGAGTGTAACAATTCGAATCGTTTAGAACCGCAAAGATGCGATGACGATTGTTTACGTTAAGTTCGAAATTATAAGGGAGGACGAAATTATTTACGAAATTTTCACTTAGATTATTTTCAATGAGATACAGTTTTTTTGTTTTTTTTATATAAAAAGGCCATGTATATATTTTACATATAATGAGGGATTGGGTTGATTTTCGAAAACTTAATTTTGTGGGTAGGACGAGTAATAATTGGAAAGCGTCAGAATAAATAGAGACCCCATCATGCATTTGGGTAGATATTATTACAGAGGTTATAAAACTAAACTTGCGTAGTTCCTGCTAAAATAAGTTTGAAAAGAGTAAGGGCTTTAATTTTAAGTGGTGGGTGTTTGTAAGCGTATTATGATATCCTAGTAATTGTCGCTTTAACTGAAGCCTTAGTAAAATAGTTTCGCCGTCTAATGCAGCTAAAATACAGTTTAAATAAAGTTTGGTGGAGTGTAAAATTTGAAGCCATTCAGGCGTTTAATTAACATTGCGTTTAATAAGAAATACACGTTGAAATAATAATATTTGGATAATTTTTATATTAGGATGGAAATTCGGGCGACAGTGGGTTGGAATGAGTTGCAAATTTCTTGGGACGTTAAGTTACCGTATGAATAATCAGAGATCTGTACTAGAATCAAGCAGACGCGGAACTTTAAATATCTAGGAAGCGTCTTGACAAAGGACGGTAAGTGAGACACTGAGATCCGTAGACCTATTCAAAAAGCAGATTTCTTTGGTAACAAAGATTTGATTATGGAGGTGAAGATTGTTGGTTGATCCCCATATGACGATAAACGACGGGAGAGTCCAGCATATATATATATATATATATATATATATATATATATATAATTGCCTGTCGTATTTGATACTATATATATTGTCAGTGGTATTGAAACTTAATGTTGGATCTTGTCGCTTAATACTCACGTGCTATTCAAGTCGCCTGCAAATGACGTGAGTGTGTGCATGTTCTTTTGAGAAGTGATTTTACCTTTCATTTTTTCTTCAGTTGTAATAAAATAATTCGGAATAATTCCTAAATTTGAATACCGTTTTACGTCTTTATGTCTGCATTATTATATCTTGCTAGGAGCTGTACACTTAAACTGGGCTGTAAAATAAATCTACTGAAATGATTAATCACAGCCTATACAATCAATGATTCAAATTATACATACATATACATATATATATATATATATATATATGTACATATATATATATATATATATATATATATATATATATATATATATATATATATATATGAAGAAAATATACTACTGAAAAACAAACAAAATCCTAATATCCCGATTACGCTGTTTTAATGTTTAATGTTAACGCCGGACGTTTCGGTCTAATAGACCATCTTCAGGACATATTCATGAAACATAATTAACATAGACCATAATTAACATGGAATATGTCCTGAAGATGGTCTATTAGAACGAAACGTCCGACGTTGACATTAAACATTAAAACAGCATAATTGCATATTAGGATTTTTTTTTTCAGTATATTTTTCTTCATACTGCCGGATCTATATCCATATATTTGCTTACATATATATATATATATATATATATAGATAGATAGATAGATAGATAGATAAAAACAGATATACATATACATATACATATATACATATACATATATATATATATATATATATATATATATATATAAACACACATATATATATAAATAGATAGTTAGATAGTTAGATAGATATAGATATACATACATATATATATATATATATATATATATATATATATATATATATATATATACACACACACACACACACACACACACATATATATATATATATATATATATATATATATTTAATGATGGTCTTATGCAAAGAGGTGACAATCACTTCACATGAAAGCTTTTTTCGTGGTTTTCATTCGCAATTTCCATTATTTATATCCGAACTAATGCGCTGCTATGGCTTCGTAAGTGATTCTTCAAGACAGCTCCCCGTTTTCAATTTCTCTTACACAAGTGGCAAACATAAAGTCAGTCAAGCTTGCACATATTTTAGTAAGATTAGAACGCGTACATGTTTGTTCTTCCAAACGAATACACATTTCTGTTTAAATCTTCTCCCCGCCATATCAGATTTTCCAAATGGCATCCGCTAGGCATTACAATTTTTATATTCGTTGCAGCTTACGACAACATCAAATTGATACATCTGTACAATCATCAAACATAACTCGAGCTTGTTTATACCTAGATAGATGACTGCTTGGGATTAACAGGCGCTATAATCTTGGATGTGCGGTTAGTGCAATGGATAATGGCTCGAAATTGTTAATCGGAGAGCTGAGTTCCAATTCCATTTGTGTTCGTTATGTTCACTTACGCGCAAATATTCTTGTGGAAAGGTATAAGCCCATCTCTTCTCCCAAGTTATGGGTTAAATATTAAGATTTGCTTCTAAAAATTATTATTATTAGTAGTAGTAGTACTAGTAGTAGTAGTATCATCTCCAGAAATATTGTTAATACAATATTCACTCGATAAAAATAATTCTTACTATTAAAAATATCTTTCATTTTTAAATAATAAGGTAAATAAGCCATCTCTTATCCACCCAGCTCTGGGATAATTGGTTTATTATAATATAAACATATTTTATGGCTTCAAATAATCAGCTAAAGTTTGATAAGCCGTAGAAAACGATTCAATCATTTTCGTTACCATGAAACCAAAACTGGAATAAAATGCAACGTACATGAAAAGAGAACTTTTTGGTCTCTACATTCCATCCTTTACAAACTAAAATGTCTTTACTATTTCATCTCCAATTGTCACCACATGCCTTTTGTAAATCACAAAGTAGTTACTTCAAAAATAGCTTTGTCGTGTGGACTTTCTTTGATCCAAAATTTGATCCAAAATATTCATAATTAACAAAATTCACGAACATCATTGGAATCTTTGTTTATTGCTTGCTTTGAGAAACTGTGAGAAAAAAAAAGAATTTACTCGCACCTACAGGTTTTATTAATTATTATATGATTTACAGCATTAAAAGGAATAGAAAATGGAGAATTGAGCACGGTCTAGTTTTATCATCTATATGAGGATTTATTAGTGACATGAATTGGCTGGTCAACTTTAATGCTTCAAAAACAAAACTGCTCTCTATTAATCCCCACAGAGACCCTTCCCTGCCCTCCATTAGAATGTCTGACGCTCAAATTCTCGAGAGCACCTCTCTGCAGCTGCTCGGTCTCACGTTGACGGCTGACCTGAGATGGAACAAATACATTGAGTCAATTGCTTCGTCCACCGCAAAGAAAGTTGGCTCCCTGTGCCGCGCCAGGAAATTTTTCACACCGGAATCGATCCTCCAGATCTACAAATCAACAATTCGCCCTTGCATGGAGTATTGCTGCCATATATGGTCTGGAGCCCCTTCTGATTGCATCGGGGTTCTTGATAGGCTCCAGAGGCGGATATGCAATATAAATGGCCCTGATCTGGCATCTCGTCTACAGTCACATTCTCACAGACGCGCCGTCGCCTCTCTCTGTCTTTTTTTTACAAATAACTTCATGGTAATTGCTCCGAGGAGCTGCATTCACTGGTTCACAGACTTCATAAGTTCAAGCACCCTACGAGGCTGGCATCCCGCTCTCACCCTTTCACTGTCGAAACTCCTAAATGTAGCCGTCTCTTCTACTCCAATAGCTTCATGTCTCGCACCTCTCGCCTGTGGAACTCCCTTCCCTATTCCAGTTTCCCTGAGAGCTATAATCTCCAACTATTCAAATGTAATGTCAATCGACATCTCCAGTGGGCTTGATCTATCCACTACCCTTCTCCTCATCCTTTCTTCTATCACTCCTATCTGATCTTCTGTAACTCCTTGCGTCCTAGTGGCTTCTTTCCTTGCTTGGGGTGAACGCCTGAAAAAAATCTGAAAACTGTAAAAGTGTTATACAAATTAAAGTACTGTTATATATATGGTGATTTAAATCGTCGTCGTCGGCACCCACTCGGATTTAAGCATCTGGATCATCATCCTCTCTCCTTATTCCCTTGTGGCAGTGGCGGAGAGGGCTTTGAAGGCCCAGGATACTCCTGAAGAGTCGTGAGCAGGAGTCACAGAAAACTGTGGGCGATGGACGCGGTTGGGTTAGTCGGGTTCTCCTGATAGCACGTCGCTGAACCTCTTCAGGTTAACGGTTGGACTCGAAAGTCTGCAAAAAAGCGGTGCCAACTGGTTCTACTTTTACCTAAAAGTATAAAGCCATGATTATCAACTGACAGTTGTCATGTACAATTTCATTACCCATAACAGCCGATATT